ATCTGTCCTCTTTTAACATTTTCCTCCAATGTCGTGGGTTTAAAAAATAAATTGGTGTCTAAACCATATGATGTTTTCTTCAATAGTTTTGTTTTCTCAGGAATCATTTTATTTTTTACGCTGTTGTTATCCTAGAATAAAATACACTGCATAATATTGCTATGATTTAAAAATACAGATTTATTACTTAAACATTATAATGACTGCTAGCATGGTCTGGTGGAGGGTGCTCAACTCGCAAACTGCGGTTCTTAGTATCAAAAACATTTGCTAAACACGTTCATAATTTGGGCATTATAATGTGCCAATCAGTCTCACTACTTGTTGGTAAAGATTAGCCCAAGAGTAGCCAATGCATGGTGTTGGCTGGCTGCCTTCTGTCTAGACCAGGGGTTACCAAGCTTTTTTCACAGCGGGCCAGATAACTGAAAGAATGACGAGCGTGGGCGCATAACCATTTTGTTCAATACAGTACAGTGAATACACAAAACATAAAGACAACAAACATGTTTCTTTACCAAAAAGTTATCAAAGAAGGCGACGTTAGCAATAAGATAGTTATATCACACCCAGTGCACCTATATCCGAATCTCAGAAACTAAGCAGCAAAAAAGGTTAGTGAGATTTGTGAAACTGGCGTTTAGCTTTTGATATATCATCAATATTTGCTTTGGAATTGCTGCATCCAACCAAGAGAATTGCTTTCAAATGTTCATCAGTCAACCTCGTTCGATGAGCTGGCTTCACATACTTCATTTTTGAAAATGTTTGCTCACAGACATAAGTTGTTCCAAACACTGATGCCATACCAGAGGCAAATTTCTTCAACTTTGAAAACTCATCATCAGGTAAGCAGCGATAAAATTTAACAAGTTTTCCTTCTCTGTCCTTCTCTTTTAACAAGTCATTTGCTTGCAAATCAATGAGCCCCAACTGTAGTTCGACTGGCACGCCATCAAGTTTACAATCAAACGGATTCTGGAACAGAAGAATGTCACTCTCAATTCTGTCGAGATCTGAAAATCTCTCCAAAAAATGCTTATTTAAGTCACTGATGATCTTCTTCGGAAACTCGAGGTTGACATCTTCTGCGATTCCAGCGCGAAACTCTTTGAAACACTGAAAATGAGAGACGTTTCCTCCTTCCAGTTGTGCTTCAAACAATTATAGCTTTCTCCGAAATCCTTTGATGATTCTGTAGAGATCATATATAAGGTTATCCTTTTCCTGAAGTTTCAAGTTCAATTCATTCATGTGGGATGTGATGTCAACCAAAAAAATGACAACTTTGACAGCCAGTTTGGATCTGACAGAAGTGGATCAGCTCTATCCTTTTCGGTGAGAAAAATATCTATTTCTCTTCGGAGCTTATAAAAACGAAACAGGACTTTATCGCAGCTGAGCCACCTCACTGC